GGAAGTTTCTCTTTTAATTGTATGAACATAATTGAAATTCTAAACTATTTTAAAGAAAAATTTTATTATTAAAAGATGAAATCTAGTTGATAAGAACTTCTCATATATCTCGTCTATATTCTAAATTAATTTTAATAAACCAATTGACCTTCTGTTATTTGTTTTTGTTGAATTAAATCTAATGAATGTACAAGACAGTTCTGAGTATTATTAGTTATCATCATCATCGTCATGACATCGATAATTGTAAGGTTGTATTGATCATCTACTAATTTTAATGATATGAAATATTTAGTTAAAATCTCTTTTTTTTCTATTCAATAATTCAAAATATTGTGTTGAACATTCAGATATAATATTTAATTTATTATTATCAAAATTTTGATAAACATCTGTCGTTTTCATGAAACTATTTTAATGATATATTAACTTTATTTATTTTACAATAAATTGTTTCGATTTGTTCATTTGCATGCAGCTTCGAAGGAAATGATGAATCAATAGATGGTAAATTAGGATCTTCTATTTGTACGATACACGTACTTTTTATAGAATCTTCAACATAACAAGTATATACGCCAGAATGAAATTCATTTACATCATTAATAATTAATACAAATATTTCATCAAAATTGTAAATAATCAATGATTTATCTAATTCAGGTGAAATGTTAAACTCATCTTTAAACCACTGAACCATTTTTGGTCTACGATTTGTTTCACATAATAACGTTAATTGATCATTTTCAATTAAATTTATTTGTTCAGGTAATATTTCAATAAATTTTAATTCACTTTCAAATACTTTAATATCAAATGATGTTGATATATTATTTGATGATTGTGATAATTGTGGAACAATATTTAAATCTTTACATTCAACTTTTACTTGTGCATGTGTTACAGTATTTTCAATTCGACATATATAATAACCACAGCATCTTCAAATGTTACATTTGGTATAATAAGAATATGCCTTGTATTTTGTGTTATTAAGCTTTTTTGCTCGATTACATTTATTGTGAAGAGCATTATATTTGAACCAAGCAACTTCATTCGATGATTTTGATGTTTTAATAACGAGTTTTAATAATTTCCCTCGTTCAATGGAAGTATCATCAAGTTTTTGTGTGATGAAAAGATCAGGTAATATTTTATTTACTTGCATACGAGATATATTTAATAAAATAATATTATTATCTTGTGATGCTGTTGTATGTGTATTAGATAAGTGTTGCTCGTTCATATCTAAAAGAAAATTTTTGTATTTTATTTTTCTTTTAAAAAATGTTGTTTTAATTTTGTGAAATAATGTGAAAGAAAATCTATGTATTCGAAAATTATTTTTCTTCATTGAGAATAAAATCTGAAATAAATGTTAGTCTCAATACATATACAACTGAAGATAAATTTTCAATAAATCAATCAATCATAATTGTTTCTAAGAAAATAAAACTACAAGAAATATATATGTACATATTGGTTTCATAAGTTTTCCTTTATTTGCATCATGATATTCATTGGATAATAGTAGAAAACAAATGGATAATACATTTCGTATGACTATAACAAAACGAAAAATGAAATAGAATAGTTTCTATTTAATTCGACTATTTTCTTTTATTCATTGATTACCATCTTTATCAAAGGGGATGTTCAGAACTTTCAATAAAACCGATTTTTTATGTCATTTCAATTTTGTTTTATATAGTAAAACTAACAGCTGACGAAACAACCTTCTAGCTACGATTTACAAATTGGGCAACGCAAAAGATAAAAGACCCGTATCATTATATGTTATGAGAATTTATTCTGATTCCCTTCTTTTATCTAGAATAAATCTATCAGGTATTCAGCGACAATCATCTGAATTTCCAAGACATTATATTTGTCAAAGAAAAACTACAACTATTAAGAAGAGAAAGTGCAAGATGCTTCATAATTTAAATCATATCTGACAATTGAAACTTCATGTTCAAAATCATAGAATGCATTCATCCTGAAATGCAACGATTAAGAACTATGTTGTTGATGTACATTTTATACGTCAATATTGTATGTCTGATGCTGCAATCAATATAACAGATTTTCAATTTTACATTGTTTCCAAATGTAAATTATTGTCGAAGAACATTGAAAAAATAATAAATTCATTTAAAACTCATCAATTTT